ATAAACCACTATCGTATTACATGTAGCTCCTCTGTTTTTACTAGTCTTTGAATAATTTACGCCTGTGCGTTGTTGTTATTTTATGTAGAATATCTCTTCCATCCCACCATTGCTTCAACTTATGTGTTCGCCACGCTGCCTAATTAAATTTTCGAAGCTCGTTTGGAGCAGTATATTTCCTTTTATTATTGACTACTTGGTTTCCATACTTAAAAGCACTGTTTAAATAACTCGCATCAAGGAATTGCGCGCTTCCACAAAGGAATATTTTCGGAAAATTATGCTAAATGATAGTGACGCGCCCACTTACTCCAGATGGCAGTAAACCCTAATGAAGTAGAATCCCATAAAACATAAAAACACAGTCGGCTAAATTACGCTTGTAAGGCAAAACTTTCAAAGCTCAGTTCCAACTACAGATGTGGAGGTGTTTTTGCCAATATAACTCAATCTGTAGAGCGAAGATTTTAACCGTCTAAGCTGGATTCGTCCAGGATGTCACACTGATCGCGCGTAGTTTCTTTTGTCACCCAAATGTATTTACGACTGCGATTATCGCGATTCGATCCATCGATATCCTCTATCTGCAGTAGAACAGCATTTTACAGCACTTTTATTCCAAAGATTCTGCAAATTTCTTCTTAAAAGAAGACCTTAACTGACGCGCAAAACATTCCACAAGTTATAAATCTACAGCCAATATTTGTGCCTCGACTGTTCCCATTTGAATGACTTAGTGCAGCACTATTCGTAGCTGCTTAGAGGAAAAGCAAGCCTTGAGTTTATTTTGAACTAATACGAAGGCTAAATCGTGGTGACTGGAAGTCGAATAAAGTCCTTACTTTGTCACAAAGAGAGAGGTGTGCCGACCACAGGCTGAGACAGTCACCGGCTTTTCGAGAGGCATGCGTAAAAACCTGACGACGCGTGCATGTGCACACCAGAATGATGGAGCCATCTGATTGGGTGACTCTCTCAACTCCATCACTGGTTGGTTGCCTTGCCGAGGCTTGAGTAAATAGCTTCAGCTGATGGTGCTGGGAGGACGCATTCCCGCATCGCCGATGTTAATTTCAGGATTACGAGAGCCGGTCTATCGTGGAATCACGGAGGATGCACCTGTGGTTGTCCCACAAAGACGTCCTATGGCCAGAAGCCTCAAGGATAGGATCACAAATATTGTTAGTATGTATGTGCCCAATGGATCTTCACATGAATCCTCTCTCTTTTCGTCGAGAAATTCTCAACTGAGGCATGACCTTGTCGATGATAGCGATGTTGCTCACATGAATGACCATTTTGGACTTCTTAGTCTGGGAGAACTGGAGAATCAGGCGGAGACTGGAAAGCCTGAGCTCTGTCATATCGTGCCGCTTATAGATAAAAACACTCTTTCAACTTCTATTCTTGATGAACTTCAGAATTCAGCCTACAGTGTTAAGCCCTCGGATTTCATCATCTCCTGTATGGCTACTGATAGTATTTATCTGTATTTTGGTGTACAAGGCCTCCCATTTCTTTTTAAACTTGAAACTGCTTTGTTTAACTCCTCATTCGAGAGGCAGTATCCCGTCACAAAAATCCACTTAAAAACTGCCGAGGCAGTCGATCTAATTCCTTCAAAGATCTGCTTAAAGGATTCCCACGGAGAAACCAGCGAGGTCTACGTCATTGGCACTTCACTCTTGGGAGACTCCCTGGTTCATCTTCTTGCTTGCTATTCCATCGATGGTAGATTGGTAGTCCAGACACGAAAATACCCTTATCAACGGTACCTTGCAATTTATATTGACACAGACGGAAATGTCCTCCTGGGCTGCACATCGTATTCGACCGACGACGCAAATCCCACGAGTAATGCACAAATATGCAAACTGACTCCCCATTTTGAGCGTCGAATTTTCTCCGTCACTCTGCGAAAAGGTGCCACCTCCTACTGTCCCGATTGGATAACCAAGTCCTGCGTTCGGGGTCAGTGTTGGGCTTCTGTTAGCCGCTGGGATAGTGAGACAAATAAGATGGTTCGACGAATATTCGCCTTTCCCGGCGTACAGCCCGATTGCGAGTCAGAGGGTGAAACCGTACGTAGTCCAAAGGAATGGCTTCATGTGATCTCCTGGAACTTTGAATGCTTTTCTGCAGGCTCCGTATTTGCTTTGGATTCACAGCGTCTACTCGCAATTGATGTGGAACAGAAGTGTTTTGCGTTGATCACGTGGCCGGAAGGACAGAAGGGTGTCAGTTTGCAAAGACTCACTAAACCAGGCAGTCGAAAAATTGATCATTTCTGCGTCTCCAACACCTATCCTCCAGTCGCCTACTTCGCGTCTGAGGGAGATATCTTCAGTTTTATCCCTGCAGCTATTGATAACACTACTGTCACCGCTGCTTCCTTATGAGGAACACCTAAGCGCCCATTCATTGACCCATTGTGCAATCATTAATTCCGGTACTCCCAAAAACTGCTCTCACATGGCCATTCACTTATCCCCATTTCTTGTTAAATACACCAAATGTATTTAAGACGACTTACTGAATTTCGGTATACTATTACACATTATATACTCATTTTTAAAAATAGTTCTTGTGATTGGCAGTTTTGGTGGCTTCGTGCGGTTAGTTCTGCGGGTGAGTCACGTTGCCCCTACTGCCCCACTGGTCGGTTGCCTTAACGGCCTTGAAATGATACATCGGTGTGGTCAATTCTCAAGCAGGTTTTTGCATGCACAGTCTCTCTGACATGGTGAGGGGTTCAATGCTGGAAAGGACCATGGGTATGAGAGGTTAGAAACGGGGCTAGAGCTTCTTGAGAGAGATCGGAGGGACCTTCATGATCAAACGCCACAAGCAGTAGAACTTCCGGCATTTTGCTGAGTTGACAATGGATGCGGCTTACTGTTCGTGGGTGTCAGACCTAATTAGCATTTGATTTAAGGGATCCAAGGGCATCATGTGCTCTTTGCTACGTAAATGTGTTGGAAGCGCAACATGAGAACCTTCGAAAATCTGAAGGACTTTTATTTGAGCTAGTCATTCAATCTGTATGTGGGGCTGTTTCGTGTGAAGTAGAACTGGTTGGATGCGGGTGAACAGCTAATCACTTAAATGCAGCGTGGTTTGAATTCGTGCTTTTTTTGATTTTTTTCAACTAAAAATTCAACATTAACAAAGTACTTCTGGGCTCCACACTGATTCGCCTTACTTTCTCACGCAGTGCCATGACCTAACGCTGTGACAAAATACAACCGATCTCCTACAAAGTGTGCATTTATTTTTTTGGAGTATTGCAGCAGCTTTTTTTGTGATCTCTAGGGAGTAGCGAAATCCGCTCCCCTTTTTATACACCTGCCGCATAAAGCATAGGTGGGTGTCAGTCTCTCGGCACCGTCTTCTTTTTTGGCCTCACTCCCACTGCCCCTATCCCACCTCAAACCCGCATGCCATAAGTTGCTGACGTGTATGTCAGAAATAGAACAATCGACCTAGAAGGCGTGATGCAATGCCTTTTGGCCAGAAGATCCTTAAAGCAAAGATCCCACCTTTTTTAAGCACCAAATGAGGGAAAGGGGATCAATGAGTGATTGGTTATAGACAGCCCCAACTTTTAACAGCATTTTGGGGATTGGGATATTCCTGAACTAGTCAGAAAATTGGACAACCGTTTTGTTTCGTTGGAGAGCTTAGATGTGGCCTTGAATCGTGAACTGCCTAGTCAGAACACCAAATATAGTCAACAAAAATGCAACTTTTTGCCATGTTTAACGCAAACAACAAGGAGATGGTAGAGGCAAAATTGTCAAGATGTGTTTATTGTCAAAAAGTGGCAGGGAGTGCAGCCTTTTCCTGAAAGTCTTGTCTGTATTTTGTTGAATCTTGGATTCAAAACCGACCCCCCCCCCCCCCACCACTTCTGGTTAACAGACGCAGTACCCTTCCTTTATTTCAGGAGCAAGAACAGAAGGCAGTTCTACAAAATACTTCTGGTCCCCGTCGAATCAGCCACCCACACCAGCATGCCCTTCAGCCTCCACAGCGCCGAATCTTCTCACACAAAAATGTGATAAAAAGTACAAAAAAGTCTACTTGCTCACACGCAAACCACTTCTCACGCAGATTTTACTGGTTTTGTGTTTTACTGACCAGTATAACTTGCATCACCACTTACCGGTACTACTAGTACTTTCACTTTAAGGATATATGTACTCTTTCTTGAGAGAGAAAAAAACATTTTCTCTCAGTTTTTTGCCCTTCACATTGGCCAAAAATGGTGGCAAAAAGGTGTGAAATAAATCACATTTTAGTACTACCACCGCCGCTAGAATGTCTGGAGAAATTTTGAGGACTTATTTTGAATTGTACCCACATGACCTTTGCCCTCACTTGGTGTAAACTTATGTGCCGCCTCCCTGTTTCCTATTGGTCCGCGTCTCGGCGAGTCGATCATTCACCATCCATTTTAAATAAAATAGCTGGTTAGATCTATTTAAACAAAGACATTTGTAACGGTATTAAGCCATGGTCATTGACACGGCTATAAAGCTATCGCCTCTGGGTGTTTGACTAATCTTACTCCAATTAGTCATTCCACATCTAGGGTAGGGGAGAGTTGCCTTTGTATGACCGGTTAGATGGCCATTCCGTTTTGCATTAGGGCTATCGCCATGGCCATTTGCCATGGTAGTCAACAAATTCGAGAAAAATGGATACCGGATAGTTTACTTGATGTGGTGATTTACGGCTCGTGCACATGAAACACCGGTGATGGGTTTACCCTATCTTAAAGATAGATCGTTTACTTTGTAATGTCGGAGTTACGTAGATAAATAGCTCCCGTCTTGTTTCCAACCTCAACCTTGACGCTCCAATGCAGTCAACTGAAGGCCTCCTCGCTGAATCCGAGACGGTTTACATTATTATGCCCTCTGTAGTTAACCGGCACCGGAAAGGAAGCTCGACCATCTGGGGATAGATGTTTTATTGTTCCACCACGACACATAAGAGATTCCAGAGTCCGGAAAGGAAATCGAGGCGTCCCGTTTGTGGGGGGTGAAAGATGGCCTATAAGAGGTATCCTTATTATGACAGCTAGTATTCGGAGGAAAAATTCCTCCTAAAGGGGCAGATACTTCAACAATTTTAAGGTAACTCTATTTTACCTGGTATTTTTTTCCTCAGTTCGTTACTTTTTCCTTCCCATTTCAATGTTTTCTAACTAAAGGCAGTGGACCGGTGGAGTGAATACCAGGGAAAGGGCGCCTCCTTTTTTTTCTCACCACATCGGTTGATGGCCTTCTGGTGGTATCTTTACCATCTCTATGGTCTGGTAAATAAAGCTAAAATTTAATCGAGGTAAAGGGCGTAATTGCATTCCATATTTGTGGCCTATAACTTCCGAGAAAACAATCGTTTGGTCAGGTCTGCCGGTCATATGGTAATTTTTTTGCTAAAATCCCCCATAACCTTATACCGCTAAGCACTTGTCGGCTAAGGGGCAATCCACTTGGCTTGTCTATTTTTAGCTACAACTATAAATTACAGTTGTTTGTAGTCCAATGGAATAATATGAGTTATTTATTTATGAAAGGAGGAGACCGATATCATCAACTTGAAATAAAGCATGCACTTGGCTTCACTTCCTCACTGCAAAAATCCCTGTCCCTAATTTACTCAACATTTGCCCCTCATTATAGAGTTGACAGCGGTATCGCGTACCCCCTCCCCAAACCCCCTATGTCCCCACTGGATTGAGACAAATGGAATCCAGTGAAAGCGGAAAAGGCGCCTTCAAATAGTTTATTTGTTGAAAAAAAAATCATAAATCCACAATCTGCCATCCCTCCTCAATAATAAATAAGCAACCCAATTACTTTTTCCACTTCTGTTGCTACCTTACTCTCATTTGCCAATTGTCTACTCCGTCTTGTACGCGATAGTGTGACTGCCTGCTTAACGGCAGGAAAAGGCGATATTTATCACTTGCGAAAAACTTATTAGGCCAATGGGGAGGATAAGGTAATACCTCCTACTGATCCACCAGGCCCGATTGTTTCTCAGGAGAAGGAGGAAAAGGAGGAGGAGAAGCTCCTAATGTACTCCCTTGAGTTGAATAGGGAATTTACATGAACCTCAGTAGTTCTGCTACCCATTATTGTTTGACCTCCGCCTGTTATGGATATAGTTCCCTACAAACAAAACAAAAACAAACACACACACACATATAAGACAAGAGAGGCATGATTTATGTCGAAAAAGTGTAGATTGGGTAGCGGGTATTGAATAAAATGAATTGTTTAAGACTAACCAATGATATCAGTACAGGAAAGTACAGCATGCTTAGAGTACACCAAAGTACAAAGGATTTTCATTTATCAACGCCAATCCATTAATGAGTTCTGTATCTAAGGTGCGTCTGTATTACCATACCTGAAAGAAGTGACAAGTATCTATTTGTCGGCCATCTGCTGTTGTATTGCATGTGGTACCCATTTGCTTAGTCTCGCCCACGATTTCCCTTCTCCCCTACTGGAAATAACGACACAGCAGATGAAAAGCTACGACACTCCACTTTTCGTCTTCGAGTTATCCACCACCGCACCTCCTCCCCTTACTGTAAGAGAAGCTAGCTTCCACAATTTGGGAAGCAGACAAGTTTGAATTACATTAACTTGATTTAATCGAAATTGGATGACATGCGAATTCAAAATGGGAGGCATGTAGTAGAGAGGCCAAGTTAGAAGTACCGTACTGCTACACTGACACCCACCTGTACTTCATAATACATGTGTACAGACAATTGGGTACATATTACAAGTCCCTACAATACAGGGAGCTGCATCACGACCTGTCCAAGGTTTCACGATTAAGTGAAAGGTATGCGAGAACATTTCAAAGTGAAACTGAGCTACCAGACAATGGCTTTGTGCTGTGTAAATCCATTTCAACTGCAGCTACTTTGTCCTCTGGCATAAATGATACGTAGGTAAGTAAAATCACAGATTTGATCATTCGAGTACTACAACTGCCAGCCTATTCGTTGAGTCATTTTAGAGGACGAAAGCTTGAAAGCTTTACAAAGTCGGAGCCAGAGGCTAATGCTTGAATATGAGGGTAGAGTAAGTTCAGACTGAATGAAGGGGGCATTGCATTGCGATTGCATTCTTGATTCGAAGAGAAGCACTTGGGCGGTGCATTGGTGGAAGGAGTTAGTGATCCACAATCCCAATTTCGTGGCCCAGATACCATGTATAAACGTCACAGCGCGAGGGCATAGCCTGCAGAAGACTCTTTATGAAAGGCTAATTGGAATGGCATTCATTTTAACTAAGTTTTCTGATCTCATGCTCTACAATGCGACCACCGCCAGATAGAGACCGGGGTAGAACGAAATAAAAACAATCATTTGGATGTTGCCTCCAATATTTCCATAAAGTTGTCTAAAATTGTTAAAAGGGCACATTATTCGCGTTTTAAGAAATAGAGACTAACTTGGATGGGTAGCTAGACAACAGGGGAATAGAAATAAGGTGGTAAAGAAAAGTAGCAGCTCTGCGGAGCAACTGTTCCTACGCCATGAATAAATGACAAAGGGAGGAAATGTCACCTCGACTAGCTGGGAAATCAGTCAAGTTGTCATCACTGACCCAGAACAGTGTGGCTCTGTATTCTCTGCGATTTCCATGGCCATCTCGATGCCATGGCGTTGCATTTGAGTCGCTTCTTTATATTCACAGGCTCCTTACAGAGGGTTCGAGGGCTACAAAGGCATGGATAAATCCATTCACGACAACAATGAAAGCCTTGAAAATGTTATCAATGCCTCTCTAATTGTGAGGAGATGACATTATTTCAGTAAATTATTAAATCATGTCTGACTAATGTAACAAGCGAATAGTTTTCCAATTCCAACGTTGAGTTTGCCTACATTGGTAGGATGAAGTGATTCCTTCCCTCGGCACCAGGCAACATCATGCCAAGTCAGTGCCATTCAATTTCGTGGGAAACCTGGTTAATACAACGCCATTCCAGGCTTTCTTGTCCACATTCAGACCCAAATTTGCATTAAATGAATCACACGCACACAGATTAAACCAACGCGAATGCGCCTCAGCCTCTCACACGATTTACCTTAATGGCAAATGCAGAATTGGTGCAGTCGAGTATTTTGTCATCTTAGCCTTGAATATGGCGCAAGATTTTGTGAATCGATGATCAATTCACCTGTGAGATAGTTACGACGGTGGAATTTGAATCTGGCTACAATGCAATCCACGCTGTAATCAGATCTCTGATGCTACACATCGGGGGTGTGTGTGTGTGTGAGAGGGAAGGAGTAGTGGGATTAACTGCTTCATTTTTAAAGTTAAACCTCCCATTAAAAAAACCGGTTCCAATCTCTTAAAAAATTGCCTTTCTGATCTCCAAGCGGAAAAAAACTCCTACTGGGTGAACTGAACTCAGACCGAGAGCTCTACTCACCGGTGCGTAGTAAGCAGTGCTCAAGAGAGACCTTAATGATGATATTAACTTCGATCAATACTTGGCAGGCATGAGGTCACACTGCCTTGACACCAGGTCACGCTAGTTTAAGATAAAAGCATTAAGTTGTAGCAGGTGAAGAAAAAAAGGTGTGTAACTATTCTGACAGTTGGATGCAATGCTTTGAAGTAACTTGAAGGGACTTGTAAAGTGCATACAGGATAAAGTCGGGCTGGAGATCTAATTGGTTGCGGCACAGCATTGCCGATTGTTTGTTGATTGGTCTGAGAAGAGGAATAAAATGACTTTTGTATTTCAGTGTACTTGGTGTACTCTTCTGTAATGTGATCATTGGTTGATCCAAAACAGTGCGTTCACCTATTAACCAATCCACACTTCGATGACATTGACCACACGATGCTACAAGATTGTGTTTGGCCTCACTCTCTCTGTGTGGTGGACTGCATATGCAAATATTCAAATAGAAGGCTTTCTAGTTAAAGGTCAAACGATAATAAGTGATGGAATGGCTGAGGTCTACGTGTATCCCCTCTCACAGCTTGAAAGGCGCACAAGGAAAATATCTCTCCCTCTTTTGCTTCTGCTTCTGCTTCTTCTTCCTCCTCTTCCTAAGAAAGTTAGTGCTTGTGAATCAGTGGGAAGAATGACCCCTTCCTAGCCCTGCAAGACACAACAGCACAACCTCTCATTCTTCCAACACCTTGGAAGGTTGCAAATGGATTTAGGAGGGAGGGAAGGAGTGAGGAAGAGTGGAAGGTGATACCGCCACATTCTCGAATTCCGTATATCCCTGATCCATCTAGCAATCACACGACTAGCCGGGAGTGAGAAAAGTCAAGTGAAAAGTGAAAGGGGGACGGAAAGGTGGCGGCTGGGGCTGGGTTTGGCTGTTTACTTCTAGAGGCACAAAGGCGGAGCTAGCAGGCTCATGACTTTTTGGAAAGCAGGACAAATTTATTATTTTGACAAAAATTTACTGATGAGGTGAGGCTTTTTAGTCACTTGCTCAGTCAAATTTTGCACAAAAAAATCAAAGTTTGATACAGGCGAAAATTAACGCTAAACTTTTACTATTGTTCCAAGGCTTGTTATTTCACTCCCTTTTCCGTAGGTTCAAAGGTCTTTCCATGGTGAAGTGGTGGAGTGCCTCTATCTGATATCTGCTTCATCCATTCCTACCACAAAGAGGATGTGATAAAATTTTTTCTTTCTCCACATTCCAAAGGAATTAAAACTTCACATTTTAAACCTAAAGTTGACTCACCCTTTTCTCATCAGTGGAAGTAGTTACTCACAAAGCATCCACAGGAGATTCAGTTGCCTTCGGCTAAGCTCAGTTGGCCCACCACAACGAACCGCGTTGTACATTAAACTTGGGGTGCAAAAAGGGAATCCCGCATACTGAAGTAAATTATCCCTCCTCCTCACCTCCGAAAAAGTCCCCAACTGATTAAAATCATTCTACCTTACATCGCCAAAATATTAAAATTTTTGATACCAAATATATGACAGAAGGCGGTTAAATGTACGACTGTGCTCGAACAAAAAAAAAACAGAAAAAATAGTTGTCATTTAAGAATCTTGATTTGTGGACACTGTGGTAAGGCCTAGGTACAGGTTATGGCATTGGCATGGCATAGGCTCCAAACATACAGTACAATGTGCAAACTGTTCCAGAAATCTGAGACGGTAGAGTCATTACGTAGAAGAACAAATTAGAGATACGGAAAAAGAAAAGGGATACTATTTCCTGAAGCGTAGAATATAACCCATTCTGTTTGACATGATCTTCTGGCTGCTTTGTTAACACTAACCCAATCACCACAGTCTGCTCACCTTGCTTTTTCACAACAGTGAATGTTCTGAGACGACTAAGTTGTGCTGGTCATCCTCATCGAAGGGTTTTGTGCGAGTTCTCGGCTGGTTATGTATCTGGGATCAAGCGATCCATGAGCTGGCTTCCAAGGGTGGGACCTGAGAATGGAGCTATCACGGCTGGGTGTCTCTAAAACACTGGCAACTGACGATATGTTGAGCATCTCCACAAGTAGATATTTGCAAATAGGGTTGTGTGGATTTGTTCACTGGTGCATGCAAGCACCACTTTGGCCTACCATTTGGACCACTGGTGGATGGACTGGCTTGACCCATATCTTGTGCGCTGGCCATCGGTGACAGCGAGAGGGCAGGTCTGTTACTCACCGCCGTGCATAGTACCCCTCCAAGTGGCATGTCAGTTTACCGCAAAAGGGGAAAATTAACAGCCACCTTTTTACTTTACTAACCCTTGTAACTTACTACGAGGTCATATAAAGACGGTCATTCGGTGTTTTTACAGGGACCTTGTAAAAATGTTTATTTAAAAGTGGGGGCATGACCGTTAGGGATGTGACTCACCTCATTAGAAGGCAGCACAGATTCTAAATGCCATTTCAGGTGACCGATGCATTGGTGCTCCTCGAGACACTGTTTCTGGAGCTTTGAAAGTCTCAGCAAGTTCCATTCCCGTTACTCTTCTTATTGTAAAAAGCACATGGCTAAAATGTGCGATGAATCCACTTGTCGCATCCGGCACCAGCATCTCTTACATGTAACTCCCTCCATCTTGACTTGCCTGTTATCAAACGTAACAAGTGGGTGATAAGACCGGTTGGGTACTTGCGACGGTCAGACAATTAATGACATTGCATGTCAAATTAGAACAGTGGAACATCTAGACGACGAAGGCCGATCCACTTTTGAGACAAACAGGTAGCATGCTTGTGTGTCTCAAAGCTGGATTCACAACAAAGGCAGGCGTTCCGTCAACCGGAAGCAGTCACGTGATACACTCAGTCAAGGCAACCGAGCTGCACTTTCCTCCAACGGAAATTAAGGAAAAAGAAACCGCCAGAGCTTGCAAAAAAAAAACCCCCCAACACCTAATCTTTAACAGTCGTGATAAGACCGCTTATGGCAAGGCTCTTTTTGAGGTTTTGCGCTGACATTACTTTTGCAAGTGAAATTCCTTTCCCAATGTCCCAACTGTCAATCGACTTGTAGGAGATACGAGTTTTGTGCATGCATTTTGGGCGAAGGCGAACCTTTAGTGGCAAGTACTTTTATCAAGACACATGTCAGGCGCAAAATGTTGATGGCGTGTGTAACCCCACTTCAGTGTTGATGTGATCATGGGTACAGAGACGCCACTTTCAAGTAAGTCAGGTGTGTGCGAAATGTAATTAAAGATTCGTGGTAAGGTCAGCGTGAGGATGGGCCAAGTTCCACTACAATGGCTCACGTAGAGTTATAGATAGTGGAAATGCTAAGCGAAGCTTGTTTTCTACTTGTCTCTTTTGAGCCCGAATAATGTTAAAAATTACACGTTGACAAGTACTCTTTATTGCTTAGATAGGCCATAATTAGTACAATCAAACACACTTTGGTTAAGGGTTAACCATTTTTGCTGTATTTTAAAGTAGTTTTGATGTAATAAGTAAGATTAAACCTATTTTAAAAACCCATATCCTGGTTTTTTAAGGTAAAAGCATATTTGGATAACTTTTGCTATTTTATAAGCTTCAAATGAAACCCAAAAAAAAAACAAAAATGAATCGTTTGGTGAATTTGCAACTTGAAATTGACACAAGGAAAGGAATTTCCCAAAGCTTACCCTTTATCTTCTTGCCTTCCTTGTTTGTAAATTTAAAATAAAACTGAAAAGCAAATGTGATGAGTCACCACACCTTCTGATCAAAAAAAAATCAAATTTCTAGACAATAGTGAGGAATGCTAATGTTTGTTTGACTTTTACTAAAAGATTTTTAGTAGCGCTTCCTGTTATTCCGTTCACTAGCACGATACTGTAGCGCCGCGAGTATTCCCCGAATGCCGTTATAGGCCCAAGTGGCACCATTCCAGAAGACATATTACCAACGTGTAGAAGAGTTTGAAAGCCGCCGTCATGGCGCGGGGATCATGACACCCAGCGGAATTCCAACCTGGGAATCGGATTTTCCTGCGTAGTCCAACCCACAGTTAAACAAAACCTAATACAGCACAGTGTCAGTAGTAGGATATGTTTGCTCATTATTAACCCGAAAAGTTTAAACTTTTTTGGTTTATAGAACTTGTAAATCAGTATGCAAAATAAACTAGACCAGAAAATATAGGCGACGGTAAAGCTGGATGCAATACCATACTGGAACTGCTAGAGACCAAATAAAAATGTTTGTCGCTATAGAATTGCATTTTTTTTGTTGACTTACTTGTGAGGGGGAATGAAATGATTTTTTAATCTAGCGTACTTCAAACAAACTTACTGTGCTGGACGCCACTGCGCTCAAATCCTTGGTTAACCGTAAACAATCCCTTCACTCACCACGCGCTACTTAATACTCACTACCCAAACCACACTTCTAGGCCATGTATCACACAATGTCAACGAGATTGTGCTTGCTTTCTATCTCTAGCTCTCACTCTCTCTGAGTGTGCATTTTTGCACACCCAATTATTCAATATGGAAGGATTTCTCGTCGAAAGTCAAACGATGGTGGAATAACAGGGGCCTTCACAAATATCCTCCCACACAGCTCAGTAGCTCACGAGGAAACCACCTTCCCTCGCTTTTGCTGCTGTTTCTTCCTCCTCTCCCTCCTCCTCCCCCTCCTGCTCCAGCTCATGAGGTGTCAAAACTGATAATTCATTGGAAAGTGACTTTTTTCAGGCCTGTATATTGTAGAACTCACCCATGGGAAGATTGTGTCTGGAGTTAGGAGAGGAGGTATGGAAAAGAGTGGGAAGGTGATGCCATCACATTCCCCTATTCTGTATAAAATACTTGTGCTGCTTCACAAGATTGGCATTGGGCAATCAGACGGTCACCTGGTGGGAAGAATACACAACTGGAAACTGGAAGTGGGACAGGACAAATATGGCCAAGTCCCGGATTTGGCTATTTGCTCGCAGAAGCACAATGGTAGAATTTAAGGCAAATTTTCAATTATAATGCTTTATTTAAGGGATTTCTATTTAGTTACCGTCTATTGTGGAGTCCTGGCATGTCTAAAAGACGTTGTAGGCTTGATGAGAGGAGCCTTGAAAAAGAAACAGGACTTTACTAGTCAGTTCCCTATTTGTTTTCAACATTCTTTACAGCATGTCTAGTGATTAGTTGCTTTGTCAGCACATATTCTGCTCAGGAGATGAAAGATGCAGGATACATTACATCTCCGTGTCTGACTGTTCAAAGAGTCAAGGGAAAAGTAAAACCGCAAGGGAAGCAAATGGTTTGAATATCCCGCGAACAATGGATAAAGCAAGGAATTGAAAATAAGCCAGGTAGACGTTGAGGCAGTAAAAATCCATGACTGCAAATTTAAGAAACCCTTGTGCTGTCTATAAAACTGCCTTTTCAGATAAACTGACGATACCATTTTATGACTTTACAGGCAGTAGGACTGCGTTCCAACCAACATTTCCTCTCCGATGACAAGTCACTTCCATCAGCTTTATCTCATCTCCACACGGTTATAATCAATGTCTTGTGGAGGTAGTTACTGTGGTTGCCAAGGCTGACGCCGAAATAAAAATGTAGATAACAAAATTGTACGAGGTTAGGCAAGCCTCGTCATGCTTCTGTGATTAGGGATGCACACCGATCCTGTCACGATTAAATAGACTTAATAACATTCACGTGGTCATGATGAGGCAGTATCCACACTCTTATAGTATCTTTACAGGAGAGGAAGAAAATCCAACCCTCATTGGTCAGTTGGGGAATAAAGTGGACCCACGAGACGCTTAAGGTTTTGCAATCAACTCAAGGTGGGGGGCCTTTGGCCATGAAACTGAGGCGTAAGTATCCACACATGTGTCAAGGTTTCCCAGCTTAGGGAGGGGATTTGCCCTCATCAAGCAGAAAAATCAAATTTTATATTTTGGAGAAAATCAGGAGGGTCCATACAAGCCGAGCCAATCAAATTGCACCCTACTGCACAAGTTCCAGGTTTTGCTGGTGTGATCTTTTAAGGCATAAAGGCGATGAAAGCTGAGGACTCAATTATTCTACAATCCGTTGAAGTCTTTTGGTTTAATTACGTGTGGACAACTCAATCAGCTTTTGAATGCTAGAGTTCTGACATAGGAGAACTATTCAAACGTATCGAGAAATCACTGCGGATTGATAGACTGTGGGTACCCTAGGGCAGCGGAATACTAATTCACACAAGGTCGATGATGCTTTTTGGGCAGGTTTTGTTAACCCACTTAGGCTGCTACAGTTTTACCTCTCAATGGCTTATGGAAAGTTTGAAAGTAGTTGAGCCTGCATGCTGGATGCAGATTGCTCCAGCAGTCCAGCTGTCTGGGAGCATGGTTGTTAAAACTAGAAGGGGAGTTAAGAAATTCTTCACCGAATTAACCAAATCTTAGTCACACGTCGGGATGGGTGTTGAAAGATCGCTTATCTTTTGTTAATAAAACAATTCGGACCCGAAAAAAAGGTGGATTTGAGTTCGTTTACTTTTGCATGTTGGAACTGTCAATCCAGGATCCGATACTTGTCAAACGTTTGTTTACAAGTGCTTTATTTACGAAATCATGGTTCAAATCAAGTTTGGGAGTTATAAAACCCAACTGGTTTATTGTTCTCGGCTGAACCAACCACGGTCGTCTCAGTACTAAATTCGTCCACTATTTTTAATACATTGTTAGGACAGTCTCGCATGTAACCGATTTATCTTCTGGATTTAATCTGCATCCGAGCACAGTGGTGTTTAACATTGGAACAGCGACACAATTTCTGTCAAATGGGGGAATCTCTCATAACGGTAAGTTCATTCAATTCCCAGTGGTCGCTGAAACTAATTCAGTAGATACGCTGGATATTGGGAGAGCAGTGAATACTTAAGTGAAGGGCGGTTTTAAGCAAAAACGCAAAATTCTTACCTGAAAATTTTTTTATTTAATAGGTTTCGTTTAGGGTGGCTAGATTTAGGGCATAAATGAAGTGGGCAGTACTGTTGAGCCTTCATTCTCCTTGAGTACGATTTCTAACATGATACAAGCTTTGAGCTCCTTGTTGTTACTAAAATTAAATAAGTAAGCAGTTTTAAATATGTTTTTTTCACTGAAAGATTACAATGGTGTTATTACCACTGCAAGTCTTTTCGAAAGCCTCAATAGGTCACGACCTTCCTGCAGCGCAGCTAAAATGGATGTGACAACCACAAAGATTGACTATGTATGACTAAAAAATAGGCCCTTACATAGCACTGGCAGTACCCTTGGTCAGTTTTATTCGCCACAACGAGATCGAGGCTGTATGAACCACACTTGAGCCAAAAATGGTCTCCAAGTTTTCTTGTCACTGCGAAGACATCGCTAGGTCCTTGTTTTTGTTTTAACACAGAGTAAATTGCCATCACAACTGACTTAGCGACGAGCATTAAAAATCCATCTTACAGTATCAGCCAATTTTATCCATCTCATAGGTTAATTAGCTGGTCTAAGCATCCTGATTTGCAAGTAAAGGCTATGAAGATGCTACTTATGACTAAAAGTAGGTTGTTCTGAAATTATGAAATTGTGGGGGATCAAGGTTGAATTAAAAGATGATGTAACGTCAATTTCCTACTTTACCCGATTCTAAAATAGTGTGGAAAATGTGAATATACGTCTCATAATGTCAAGACTATCGAATCAAAGTGCTGAAAATAAAAGAAACTCGATAGAATGCTGAATTTTGAGGTGTGAGGAGAAAGGAAACTTTCAGGTAGTGATTTCTTATTGAGACCTCGATTTAAAAAAAAATTAAGTCGTTTTTATGAAACTATAAACAAATTCTGTGAGTGATTAATTATCTGAGTACTGTGTGAATACGTATTAACGCCCTGAGAATATTGGTGAAATTCCACCAAGTTAGAGGGCCTCGACCTTCTCAGTCTGGGTGGAGCTTTCACGTTCGTGCACACTGACTGCATAATTAATGCTAGGGCATTAAAATGCTGATTGCCGTTTGTTCTCGTTTCATTAGGTAAAAAATTAGACTACGCCAGATAGCCAAAGAATCCGCCTAAGAATCAACAAAAGGTCGATTGAATAATCAGCTCATTAGAAAGAGAATTTGCGGTCCCAAATCATGCAGCTCACACCCTTGAGGTGGAAAACCACCAAATAATGTGAAATTGCAATGAAAGAATTATCAGTTTCAAGCAAAAGACTTACAAAGAGGGATTTTTTGACGTATTCACGAACAAGTGAACATTCTTTCAGGTTTATCAATTACAAAGAAATACAACAAAGGCTAAGTTCTTGAAGTACTCTAGAAGAAAAGAGATTTATGCAATAAAGCCGAAATCATGGACTAGTACGTGGCGGTTGGGGGAGTCACTGTGGATGACCTTGACCTTGAGGTGATTATTGGTACGGTAGAGTGCGTCTACGCCTCGAATTGGTCAGCGAGGAATGTTCATAAATGTACAGGAAACCAACTTCCTAGCAGAAACTTTTCAAATGTTTATTACTTTGTAGATGCGTCCAGAAGTAATATGATAATCTCTTCACAGTGTCTCTTGACAATAAGCTCCTCCTACACCGCAACCGCAAATTTTTGGCCAAAGAACTTAACTGAGTAGCGGTGATTATAGAGGTCAGATGACTCCCCTTCAGACATTACGTGCACAAAGGAGGGTAGATATAACTCATACTATAAAGTCTTCCAAGTCAGGACTTTCTCACCACTCTATTAGCCTTTCCAGATTTGTCACTTGAAGTACATGAAACTAGAATTGGGATTTTTATGCACAATTCTACATTCCGCTGGAAGAAACATGTGAGTCAGAGGAGGAGAAATGAGTCGTTATGTCGGAGAAAGTAGTGGGACACAACCCCACTCCACAGCTCGATAAACTAGTACACTTTTAATTAGCATAAGAGATGGTTTGACAAGTCTTCTGAAGCATCACCTATCAAAAATCCAGGGCCGATTCTTGTGATTGACGAAGTGACAGAGTACAATGCAACATACACACCCTATTATGTGGCAATTTTCACAATCACCTGCTTCTGTTGTTGGAATGAGTGACTTTGAGATTGTTACTGTAGGAAATTAAACCAACAATGAAAGAAAAATCGGATTGGCATTCCTGACGAGGAGATAGTTCAAACCAGTGCCGCTTGATAAGGTGCTTGTGGAGAAAGCGCTTGTCAATTACACACGTCAGCACTTCAACAAGGATTCAGCTGTCGCACCCTCAAGGTATTGTTTAAACCTTCAATTGCACAAAAATTTAAATCAACCTCTACCCTTTCTATCAACTACATTTAACTTAGTTTTGTGGCTGTAAAAGTTGGTTTCTGGTAGGGGGAGAATGATGAAAGAGTGGTAATTCTTTTGCACGGAAGAGAATATTTTAAAAGCTTTATTAGGGGCTTGCGGACTCCATTTTACAGATAAAGAAGATACTTCCCCACTTAGATTAAACAAAATGTAAAAATCCCATTTTTTATGGTTTAAAAAGAGAGGACCTATTAAATTTGAGGCAAGTAAACAAAGGTGATCTGCCCTAAGACTAGATCTGGGACCATTCAAGCAATTTTATCAGCTTTTGACAAGGGCTCAGTTTGTGACACACTACGCCACAGGATCATGTGATTATTCTACTAATAATTAACTTTCCACACACAAAAGTCGCAAATTTAGACAATTAATAGAAAACTAAATAGATATAGGCAAATTGTAACACTACTGCTCCATAGTCGAAAGAGTCGTTGTGGTAATACAAAATCTAAGAGACGATACGAGATGTCTACTGCAACATCTTGGTAAGGGGCCACTCAGAGTCTCTCCACTATTGTATCTCAGCAGGACAGCCCGACCTCTGGGCCATGTTAGTGGCCCCCAAGCTAATACATATTCTTCTCAAGTATTATGTCTTCAGTCCTCTTCAGAAAAGTCCAGGGATATTACATCTAAAACCGTTCCAACTTACATTCACTTTAGACATGATTCCACCTTTTTATTCAACTTTGCCGTTTTTTGAAGAAGTGAAAGGAAAAATTTCGCACTAGAATGGTTTACTGGGTTTTCAGCTCAAATAGGCAGTAAAAGATGATGAGTGTGATGTCACAGATCACATTCCATCTTGCATATTAGCAGAAGGGAAATTCACAAAAGTACATTGCCTTTGTGAGTATTAGCTGTGATAAGCTGTTTAACGGTGACCTTCAAATGTGTCAAGAATGGAGAGAAGGATTTTGTGCATGCGAAAAAAAGAGAGGATGGGTGGCACTGTGATTTATGACACCACCAGTGAATGCATCGTTGCACCCCCATGGAAAATATTTCGCGATTGCATTATTTATGCATCTTTTGTTTAGCTAACTGCATCGACTCGTTGGAAGCTGCAAAATGAGCGCGATTGCTTGTTTGTACCCATTACAAAAGGGTGATGAAAATGTAGTAGTTAATCGGTACGGTACATTTTAAAGCCTCTTTACTATTCCAAGGTGTCAGAATCGTCTGCTTCCCATTCCACAAGCCGCTAAGAGTAGCATCCTGTATGGCATCTCAGGAAGGTGAGCTACACGGCAACCGACTATCTCGTGAATTTCTTTTGATTGCACCTGACATTGTCAGTCTGGTGAGGGCTCACTCAAATGTAGCGCAAAACTTCTGACAATGTGTAAAGTCGTAGAAGTCACCTAACAGACACGTTGACAGATGGCAGCCAAACCTGCTGTGACCATTCAATTGTCTACTGCTTGACAGAAAAAAAAACCAGTCATGTATTTTAACGTACTTTAAGGCAAGGAACACATCATTGCTTACGACGCCCTACCTACACTGCCTACGCCACATTTTATGAGGCACGCACCAATTCATTACTACAAAGAGTGACAATGCATGTCTTGTGTGTCTGTGTGCGTGTGTTCGGTGGCTTGCGGAAGCTTCTTGCTGAAAACCATCGGCTGGGATATGATGTGTCTGGAAGGGGTACAGGAGAGAGTGTCTGACAAGCATCCAGCGGGGGGGGGGAGATCTGCAAACTAACACTGGACCTGAAAACAAGAGTGATAATCTGAACTCTTGATTGGCCCCAAAGACTGCCTTGTCTCCATCCTCATCCCCTGTGGATACTCGATACTGATACCCTGTGTGATGATCATTGCCTTTACTTGCATGGGACAGATAAGCGAAGGAGAACAGGGTGAGGTGAGTGTTTGTACGACTAGGGTCTGAGATTCGACAACTCGTGACATGCCAATGCGTCCTTCCTTAATTTCACGAATCGTCTCTCCAAATAATATGTTTTTCTTTACGAAAAGGGAGACCAATAAAGATTTGAAGGGCAAAATATCATGCCGATTGAAAGGTGATTTAAGTCAATTCGGAAAACCGAATGGGAGACTCTTCTGTTCTGCAACCACCCCCCGGCTCTTGACGCCCCTTGAGATCTTTTACTCAGAAAACGATGGATGAAAATAAACTGTCAGTCGGTAAAGACACAACTCCTGGTTAGGAAAATCTGACGGTGGAAATTTGAACATAAACAGGTCCCGGACTGTTAACATTGCCCTTCAAATTTTTTCTTCTCCAAACGAAAAAATACGAAAAAAGTCTTTAATATGTAAGTGTTTTTTACAAAGTGGGACAACTCCAAAGCCCTTATATAAACTTGAAAGAAAGAATATTTATAAAGTCGAATTCCCGCCGAAAGTGTAGATCCCAACCCCCTCTTTCTACACTTTTAAAAGGTTCAAATGGATTTTAACATTTCACGGATAGTCTAAGTGGCAATATTTTTCTTACAGCGCAAAAATGGAGGTGTTTTTAACCTCCATAAATTGAAAAGGTCAAATGTCACTACAAAAATCTGTTTGAAAGTTAGACATACAAAATGTCCAAATTCTATATTCTTCAGCAAGCTCGGCGTGGCCCTGAGTCCAGACAAGGGTTGAGATGACTAGGAGGCACTATTTTGGGGCTCTCCTGGGTGAGCTTTGACCTCTCCTTTAAAAAACGCAGAAATGGCAGTCCTCTTGTGGAGGAGGTCAGAGATTAGCTGCATCCAGTTCGAAAGGATGTAGGATTCTGGATAATTTTGACTATTCAGCGAAGGCAGTTTTTTAAATAAAAGTTTCTTGTGCTTCCAAAGACAGGGTCATTCAGAGATGCAAAAAAAACAATGGCACATTTCTAAAATGGGCAACTTATGAAATGTGATATCTACTCCAGAAGTGACATTATCATCCATGTGATTGGTGGATGACAAGATTTCGGGGTTACGGTTGGAGAAGCAGTAATCCATTATGCTTCAATTTCTCTTCAAAAAATACACCTTAAGACAGTTTTTAACATTACAAGACTAATTCTTGGTACACATGCATGGAAGGTAGCCAAACAGCCTAGATCTGGCCAACTTCGTTACCACTCACCTCGTACCTTCCAACTGGATAATCACATTATGGCTAGTGAGGAGGAGACAATCTTGAATCCCATCAATCGGATTTAAAACAATGGGAGAAAGTAGTATCTAGCACAGTGGAGATTGCCTCGCCGACTGATTGACACATATCAGCGCTTTACGAGGCCTATCAACAACTGAAAACGGCACGAAAAATTTTTGAGTCAACTGAACCGAAAATGCTGGTGACTAGAACGAGGAGGCTAGAAGCAAGAGGCTCAAAGGGAAAAATAGGAAGTAAAGACATTTACTAATAAGTACTAATGTTTACCTTTCAAAATACAGTGAGTTCCTCTCTCCGTTTATTGTTCCCATGACAGTGGCTGAGTACTAAGAGATTACTTAGCGAGAATACCCAAAGGCTAAATACCTTCACAAGTCAAGAATGCAACAATGGCTTCACGTAAAGTGACCTTTGAAATGTGGCCTTTTTTTAGTACAGACACAAGCTTGGGTTGTTGAATAGAAAAGTAACCTCCTTAAATTTAGTATTCTTTAATGAAAAGATCACCGGTGATAGGTAGGAAAAATGAGGGGCTTCTAAACCCCTAATTCTCTCCTTCTGCTTTGTATTTATTCACCTCTGTCCAGAAAACAAAACATAGTAAAAGGAGGAAGTTAATGTATGAGAAGCATCTACTTCGGATAGCATATATAGAATATACAAAATGCATAGCGATTTGTCTCTGGTGTTGCCTAGAAAAAAAGGAGGGAAGGGAGGGAGTGGGAAAGGGGGACAAGGCAACAGGAGGGAATAGCGTTCAGGTGAGGCATGGGAGGTAAAAAATCACAGTTGAATGAGGACAGAGAGATCTAGAAGGAGGAGGATATAGAATGCCTACTCGGTGCCAGTGAGTAGATGCCACGAGGTGGGTGGCTCAATGACATCGGCCTCTACGAGGATGGCGAGCATCATGAATGTGGCGTAGGCACAGAGCAGACAAATGCCATAGACGCGACGCATATGAAAGCCCGTAGCAAATGCCACCACCAGATTCGTGGTAAGTACTCCCATTAGGAAGGAGAATAGCAGCACATGTGTCAGGGTGAAGGACATCTACGGAGGGGGGTGAAGATGAAAGCGGGTGACCTAGGGGTCAAGGCGTCCAGCACTGGTTTTTTTGCAACACCCACTGCTTTTTACCCACCAGTGGTATGAGGGGGATGAAAAGGTGGTACAAAAATGTTTTTATCTCATTGACTCAAGTAACACTTTAAAGTATCATCCAAAAGTACTCTTTGACCTAAAGATTTATTTAGCGGTAATGAAATAAAATCACAATTACTGCCTCACGTTAGAAGCACTTTGCACCGGTTACACAAGCAGAACCCCTGGCAGGCTTATTCATCCAAGGGTGACTCTTAGGGATGTAAATTTATCCCCCAACTGAGTATATACATGATGATGAAGGAGAATTTATGCTGCTGACAGCTTCCATCAAAACTGTCAGTTCTGGCTAAACATATAATGGAGCGCCATTTCTCTCCAGATGCAATTAGCACACAAGGCTCGCAATCACATTCATCCAACGATGATGTGAAAAGTTTGCTCGACGGATGCAATTACAGGGCGGGTTCAAATGCATCCAACTACTATTTCCCCCTACTCCTATCCTAATTTTTTCGTATTTATTTCAAATTATTACCATAATTAAATTTGTTTCCTCTAATCATTTGATTAATTAAAAGATTAAGAAAGTTTCTATTTACACTTGACAAATAGTCGAGAATATGCCGCTAAAAATACAATATTAGTAGTATGCTAGTGTTTAAATTCCAACTTACATCTGCTGTGTGGTCACCAGACCTAGCCAACTTGATAGTATAGGAGGCGCCGGCGCCGATGAGGAGGTTGAAGAGTGGTGAGCCAATACAGGCCGCAAAGGCGATTCGAGGATAACCGTTGTGTGCCAACAGGGAATTTGACATGAGGTCTAAAAAGGTGGTGTCATTGGGTATGCCTAGTGATGCCTCGTGCCCACAAAATATGCGTAAATTCAAATCCACCGCTTTTCCCTCAGTTTTGCCTAACTCAGAGTTCTAACTTAGGAAAAGATAGCGTGCATTTCTTACATAAAATGCACTGTCTATACAAGAGAGGCATGAATTTTACGAGGCAGAAACAAGTTTTACACAAGGATTGCAAAGAGAAAGCGGTAGCGGCCGCCTATAATGTGCAGACTGTCTTTATTTTGCTTGTCTCTCCTTATACAAATTGCAGTATATGGGGAACTAAGGGGTCAGGCAGGAACATTGGGGCGTCACATATATTGGACGTTAGCATTGAAGGTGTAGTTGATTAGGGAAGCGCGTTGTTTTGAGGCATCGGGGAATGAAGAATGAGATAATTGATGCATAATCAGCTCTAAATGTCTAAATGACTCCATACTTACTTAATTAAAAGAGAGGAGAGGCTATAAAATACCAATACCAGTAACGGTTAAAAACTCTATTTCTCCCAACGCTGTTTCCCACTGTTATCATAGTGTCGAAAAACTTGACTAAAAGTTACAGCCTTCGTTGATTTAGAAGCTTTCTTTTGTCAAATTACGGTTGATTTTTAAAGGCTCAAGAAGGTGAGGAGAGCTTAAGACTCATGCGTGAATGCAATGCCAACGGGACTGACCTACCTACCCACTCACTAAACTGCCTAGCCTCGGAGCCAAAGGCAGTAGTATCGCGTGCCTCCTGATTGCATGCCATGTCATGTCAAAGTCAAAGCCAGTTAATAGTGCGCGCTCGCGCTAGCGCCAGTCACGGGGCTTTGCATGTTGAGGAAGGCCCGTGCAATCAATCAAGCTTGTGGATACAAAAATAAACTCTCTCCCCCCCCCCCACCCACCCCACGGACACATACTTGCCCCAGGGCAAGAGAATAGAAACGTAAGCTGCTACTTTGTTATACTTTGAGTTGGCGGCTCACTACCCTCATAGAACTCAAAAACGTGCATAACCTTTTGCCCCCCCTCTGGGGGTCAAGTAACGTGAAACTATACTACGGTAAAGAAACAAAAAATTTAGTTGTCATGATGTTAAAGCTAGTGGATACGCACTATTGGGAGACCGGTACCGAAGGAAACAATACTTGGTTCACTTATAGACGTTAGTAAGTGAGTCACTTGGATTATCCGAAGTTTGATCCCCATCTTAGTGGCATGGGTTCCGTTCTTAGCACCCATTCCTCTGGCCTTCCAGCCCCTCCGCACGGTTGAAGCAAAGCTGCTTTGAGGGATAACACAGCACGGGATCTTCAGTACTAACAGAGCACAAAATTTTCAGCATGGTTTATTTCAAAAGCATGCATTTGGAGTTACATTCTTCCCTCTTTTTTTCAAATCTTTCTTTCAGTGTAATAAAATTCGTAAAAATGGAGAACACTTTTTTGGAATAAATTTATATAAAGTTTCAATAAGCAAAAATCATATTTTAGCAAACATGTTTTAACATTTGAGTTTACAGTTGTACTAATAATGTCATACAGCTTGTGTAAATGAAAAATTTGCTTCCACACGCTTAATTTACGCCGTAAAATGAATTGGTCCTTTTTAAATGAGATCTGAGGCACGGATTTGAAACAGGAAATCGTGTACTTTGGGTACTTAGGCGTGGACTATCTGATATAAGTTATGGCCAATTGCAGACCTCATTTTAGTAGCCCAGGAAATTAGATTTGTTTTCAAGTATTTAATTCACAATAGCATAGACAATTCTCTACCCACTTCGTAACCCAACCAATTAGCATATCAATTCCATGTCTACCAGAAATAAAGTTAAAAGGCTTCACAGTAAATGCTGTGGTGGTAGGTAGTGTGAAAACGGCAAAATGCGGTGTGACATACCGCTGATAGAGCTGGCAAATGCCATGACAGTGATGCCAAGAATGGCTTCACTAATCTCCCAGACGATGCCCAGAGCCTCCAGGGAATTGACGAGCTCGTGAGCTATGGCATAAATCCACACGATGGAGGTGAGAAAGCCCAAAGTGGCAAAGAAGGGTCGATGGTAGGGCGTGGGGGCGCGATCCCAACTCGAGGTCACGAATATGGTTATTGTGAGGCCGGTGGAGATGAGGAGAACTATGACCACAACTGGGAGATTTGAATTACCCACTTTGTAAAGGCCTAGTGGTATGCCTCCCACTGAAAAAGGGGGTATTTAAACAAACACTTCTCCAGTTGTAGAGCCATCACAAGAAAAAAAGTAGCGCCTAAAGAATAGACAGCGATGCGTTTTAAAGTCACATACTGACGAATGGCGTGGGATTACCCGTCACTGTCTTAACGCGTTTCCCACCAAACTCCGTGCTGTATTTTTGATGTTTGGGCTCAGGTAAGAAAATCAGGGCGTTACATGAATTTGGTGTTGATAGCAAATGCAACAATCGCCTCCTAAGGGATAACCAAACATGGACATAAATGGTGACACCTGAGAGCTTCCACTTTTTAAGCTGTGAATACAGAAAGATCCCCTTTGGCAGAATGAAACCAAGCATTTTGGAAACATCGATCCAAGCGACTTAATGACGTTCAACATGTCAATTCCTGTAAAATTGTTCTCATTAACATGTTTCTGCGATACTATTCTGTTCAATCATAACAGCTTCTATTACCGGAAAGAAATGGTTGATATATCTTGCATATTGTCATGATTAGTTCATTTCATAAGCACATTGTGAGACTGAACCTTTTTTTCATGTCAGCTGTTGATCCACAAATGTAAGCAAAAGTAAGCTAAAATTAACAAAAAAAGTCTCTGCTTGGTTTTTGATTTTTTTGGCGATATTAGAATGTTCTAAAATTCCATCGCATTGATTCTTTCCCACCTCGGTCTCGGAGGAAAATAAGTTGTCACGCTTAGTGTATTTTATTTCGCTAGGATGACATTAAGAAGTAGTTCAGAATTCCTTTCTTGTCAGCCCAAATCATCTACTCTTAGTCAAGTGTGTGAACTACGCGTGACGCGAGAGTCAAGGCAAGAAAATTGGAGCATCAAACTTGTGCGGCACCAACAGAAAAGGTGTCAAAGGGGGCCTCACATACTCACAACTCCCCAATGCCAGAGACTGTCATTCATCAACAAATAATGACTATGGAGACAAGCCAAAACTCAAACCGCAAGACAAGACGACGGAGAGCAAGTATCAAATCAACTCTGAATCAAACGATTTTTGTATTGGGCGGTTTTTGTGGCAATCTACAGTAAATTATTAAATAGTACAAACACCCAAAATAAATTATGTTACAAAGTCTGACTACATAATTTATTCTTCAGTGAACAGATGCTGAAGAAAGTTTCTACAAATTCAACGCCTTTAACTATAAAGATTTGTTATTTTTAGACGAACCAAAATTAAAGGATTGTCTTTTTGAGGAGATGTTTGGAAAAGCCTTTTAGTTAGGACTGAAACTCCAAAAACATAGCCATTTGGCACTGATAAGGAAAAAGGACTATCCTTTTTGGACGTGTTACGTAATTCTAAAACCTACGCACACAGAAATGGCTACCCGTTTTGTAAACCCACGTAATCACATAAAAACACAAAAATAGGTAATGCTTACTTAAAATCTCATTTGACCAAAAATTGTTGACGTACCCTTTAACAAATTCCTCTGTTAAGAAAATGTTCCTTAATTAAGCTACTCTTTCACGAAATTTCATTAGGTGTGAAGAAATGTAAGAGGGCTCAAGTCCAAGTTTAACTGGGAATGACATCATTAAATTGGGAAATTTCACACCCAAAAGTGAGTGAATAACTGTGCATTACTGTGGATAATTTAGTGATCGCTCTGTGTCCGGATCGACTATCATTATGTTCCAGCACTTGGGTACTTCTTTTATACTTTTCTTGACTATACAAGCCCCCTTGCCGCAATTAGGTTGTACTTCTACCTGACTGTGTAGCCTTCCTGTCGTATTCACAACCACCCCGTTATTTTGCTCACTAATACTTACTTATCCCTATGTATTGGTGTGTCCTAGTACGATTTCGGTAAACCTTAGAGCTCTTACAAAACCACTGTCTGAAACCAATGCGGATCTAAGTTTATTCAATTATAAAACTAAGAGTTGTAAAATTGAAAAATGAAATAGTCGCGTCATTAACTAAAAAAAACTCACGACGCAAAGCAAATGCCTAACTAATTTGTGGTTTGCCATCGCGATTAAATAACCCGCGTGAATAATGAAAAAAAACGGAATGATGATCACAGCTACATAGCAACAAATATGGGTAAAACGAATGTTTACTCAATAAAGGAAATAAAATTGAGTCAAATGGGGAAAATTATGACAGCATCTTACCAGTAATCAGAAGGACCCACAACATTGGGGTGATAAGACACTGAAAGCAATTGAGAAGGCGACACCACCCATGCAGATCCTCAAAATCCACCAGAGGCGAATCCAAGCCTGATCTTAACTCGTCGCCCCTCTCATTTACCGTTTGTGAGGAGTTTTTTGGTGACCTTGCCTGCATTTGTTCACCTCCCTCTCTCCCCACATATGTGGAAGAAGACAAATTGATGCCTTCAGCCCCACTCACATCAGTTGCAGACTCGGGCGTTGAAGTTGACGTAGGTTCCAGATCCTCATATACAACGGGAATGGTCAATCGAAAAAGAATGAAAATCGGAGATTGGATAATTTGGAGTAATTTGACGGGGATGGATAAGTCATTCCATTCGGAGATCTCTATAGGGCAAAGGCAGTAGAGGAGGTGATGCCACATACCACGACTGGCCCACCGGACAAATGGATCTTCCACAGCTTCTTCCTTTTCCTCATCCTCTGCTTGTAATTCGGTCTCTCCTTCGCCTATTTTGGGGGCAATTTTCCCACAGATACCTCTTTTTCCCTTTGTGGAAATGGTGAATGTGGATCCAAAGTCAGCGGGGCTGTGAGCTTGGGCACTGCGGGCTTTGTCTATGTCATCCAGGCCGTTAAGGGAGGCAGAGGAAATTCGTTGAAGTTCGTGAGTGGGAGGAAAGTGGGGAAAGTAGCAATGAGATGAGGGATCATCTCGAAAGGAGACTGTGGGACTGCGCGATTGGGAAATGTCCTGAGCGAAGGTGTGAAACGAGACGAGGTCACCTGCATGGGTGGAGTCGGAAGCGTTGCGATGACGTCTTCGAATTTCCAGGTTTTCTGAAATCGAGGAGAAATTGAGTGAGAGAGAAGGAATGAAGATGTTAACACACACATACAGACGTGAGAGAGACTGGTGTTGTTTTAATCATATTCACATTTGTACGTTTTTTAAGTGTTTTCCTGGTTCAGCCGTTGGTGTCGAGCTCCGCTTTTTGCTACCTAGGCAACCGGTGGCGTTCATTTCGTGGGATAACGTCGACGGGAGTCATTTCGATTCCAATTAATAATATAGTTGTACATAGTCACAGTTCCGTGATACCAGGAATATTCGAATAAGTCAATACAGCACATAAAATCGCAATATTTCATAGATGAATGAAAATTCCTTTCAAATCCTCGTCATACTTCCGTCTTATTGTAAAATCGCTCTTGACAGACTGTAAAAAAACTCACTTTTTAATTGGGAATCCCTGGCACTATCATCCACACACATCGGGGCTGCTGTTATACCTTAAGAGATAGATGTAGAAAAATTCATTGTGATTTTTATAATAAAAAGTGCTTAACAGTAAGTTGTCTGTCTAGCAGGCCTTATTTCCCTGGCATAAGTCCATCCATTCGGAGGAGCTCATGCAACACTTAAGCACTGCAGCAATCTGCTAGGGTTAACTTTCGCATGATATTTAGATGCATTTTAGTTATATTTTAGTCAGAAATAAGACAAGAAAAAAAAACGAAAATATTTACACTTTTCCTTTTTTTGTTTAAGCCAATACTTATTTTTTGACAGGGGATATTTAAAAAAATCAAATTGTGTGTAGGCAATTGATGATTGTAACACTAAACATTGTTCGGACGAAAAAATCTTTTTCCCTTTTTGAAAATTTTTCCTTTTACTTTAGAATACTCCATTTAAAGCCCAATTTCTCCTATGACTAAACTTTTTTCCTAATCTAATCGAGCAGACGCTCACACTTACCATCTTCAGTGTCCTTTCCTTCGGTCTCTTCGCTTGCTGCCAAAAAAAGCAAATAAAATTACTAAAAATCTGGAAGATAATAAAATAACTGACAATATGGAATTTCCACATTTGACTAGAATGAAGGAGCACACTTGCTTATTAAACTTTTCACTAACGGAATGAGAAATCGCTATTTTAAGGCTTAGGCGGATGGTGAACCCATGACCTCTACGCCCTGACACGGCGCGTGAACCCTGTGAGCCTTGTCAGTTGAGCGGCTGTTATCTAATTGGCTTCACTTTAAGGTCAACAAGAATTCTCTTGGTTGAGCGAAGCAGCGTTTAAAAGCTTTTGTGTTCGTATACTTTCTTTCTGGACATTAGAGACGGGAAAAGGTAAAGATGATAGGTCTGCTGCCCTTGAAGTTTACCTACTGTGAAGATGGTTGGAAATTTATGCATAAATGTGGCTAAAATAAGAGGGAAACAATGTCCTGATATGCGATTTTAGATCTGTGGAAGTGGTATCGAGAGTAGGGGTGAAATCCTCCCTCTTATATTCTTCCATGAATGGATCAAATAAGCACACACGTAGAAGTGATTCACAACACTCCGTAAGTCCAGATACGACACATTCATAAGAACAGAAAAAAAGTTTAAAGAGGGCTGAGGTCGTGTTGGATTTACTTATTCCCCCATCCATTGTGGCCTTAAAATCAGTCAAGTAACAGTCAGACGACAGAAAAGCATCTGCCCAGGCGCTGGTAGACAGCTGTATCCACTATTATGAGGAAGTCTATTTTCTATATCAGTGGGGGTTCACTGAGACCCTGCTCTCAACTTTTATAGGAAATTTTAGTTTGATTGCAGAGACTTTTTTGATAGAGAGACAACTCTACTCACTGTTAAAGTCTTGTCATGTCACCGTTAGAACAAGAAAGGATGAGCTTAGTAAGATATCAGGTGTCTACTTACCAATAATCCATCTAACTACAAAAGGCAACTGCTCCATGGCACTCATGCGTCTACTTCCTCGTCTCTGATAAATGCTAGGAGTTCTTGAGCGCAGTCCAATCCCACCCACTGAGGCTCGTTTCCTAACGGAGGATCCTACAGTCAAAGAATGGGAGACCTTGACTGCGGACCCACGTTGGGAGACACTGGAAGGCGGTGTGATGCACTTAGTAGCGTAGTGAGGTGGTGGAGTGAGAGGATGGAGGAGGTGGTGGACACGATGGGGCGGTTCCAACAAATCCTGCGACGGAGCCACATGACCCCGGAGAATGGAAGCAGAGGTTTTCGAAGTTGTTGAGGATTCACCGACGGCGGTATGGTTATCCGTTGGCGGTGCGGTGACCTCGATGCGGGGGAAGATGCGAGAAGATCGACGACGGTCACCATTGTGACTGGCGCCTTTGGAGATGCTCATGGGATCAGGGTGTTTGCGGTAACTGATTATTTTTACTGAGAGTGAAGAGATGCAACATTTTATGAAGGGTACCATTCAAATTGAGATTTTATTTTGGAAATTGACAAGTTTTCAATAATTATTCTCCCGAATGTTAACTATCCTGTATATTGGATATGTCATCCAAATATAACTGATTTTGAAATTTGATAACCTCCTCTTAACCGAGAAAAATGTTTAGTCTCTCTAATTAAACACAAGAAACCAAAGGGTGTCATCAAATACTCTCAAAGTAGATTTCAACGAATTGTCTCGTCGTAATCACTAAATAGGGCGATGGAATGTCGTCCGTATCCAACTGACATATCATTTGCATTTATGAGCAACTAGCCAAAGATTGTTGAGTGTGTTAACCTCTCAAAACTCAATGAAAAATACGCATATTTTAAGCATGCAGATCCTAGGAGACCATTACTACTTCATTCTCGTTCCTTGAAATACGTTCATAAGAAACCCTTCCATATCACTTATATGCACCACGGTAGCCGACAATATAATCCTGCATTCGGACAAACACCATAAACCTTAAACTTGAATGCTCAGCTACTTTGGATAATTTAAGGTAGGTATAGAAAAAAAGTGCTTTTTGTCTAAAAAATGCATTTCTTCAAAGCTCTACTCAAATAAGGACCTCTCTCTCACTTTAATGCAATTTAAGGTGAAAATCTTTTTGCACACACAAAAACAAGTGTTTTTTTAAAAAGGACTTTGCTAATTTTGCCCATATTAATTAATTAAGAATACTTTGTTCCCTAACGTTTGGATTTCTGAACGTGTTTGCAAAGTTCAATTTGCTTAATTGAGATATTTGAGCATAGGCAATAGAGGTGGATGAGTAGAGATTTGGTGCAGTGGTTTGGAAAATGAATTTTTCACGAAGAACAAAAACAATTTTTAGTCTAATTTGATCCCAACTTGGGACTTAAAAGATTACTGAATGATTTGTTTTGCATTAGGATTTGAGGTTTTAGCACGTTAAAATGCTAGAATTTGGCATTTTAATGGTTGCAGAGTAATAATCAAGCACAAAGACTTTGAAAATGCGTGTTCTCTAAAACGATTTTAATGGTGCCCTCCCGCTACTAACAGCCTAAGTGTGAATGACCTTGGGCAATGTAGAGCAGCACCAAAGAAACGGATTTCCATCAAAAAGTGATAAAAGCCTTTACCCTTACCATCGTTTTCTACGTAGGAATGTTCATTCTGACCACCCATATGGTTATCTTGAAGCGCGTTAGATTTCTTCGACCCCAGTTCAAAGTCATCCGAAACCAGGGATTCAGAAACAGTCCTTCGGGACCTAATTAGACCGCATAGAGATCGGAACCACCAGGCGTCCTTTGGAGATGACGTTTCATCACCTTCTACTGGACTCCTACTCGTTGGCTTATTGCGTTTACATATGGTGCATTTTTTAAGGCCTTTAAGGTAATTTGCACAGCGTTGGTAGATCGGACTGTTGGACCTCTTTAGATGAATGTGGCTGGCTGCCCAAGTTGTTATCACATAAAGTATGTAGAGCAGTATAAAACCTAGAAAGGCATTAAATTGGGCATAAATTGCAAAAAATAATAATTTCTGATTCATGTCATTTCTGACAGCGATAAGATTTTAAAAAAATTTTATCCTCGATCAAAAAACACTCCACAATCATATATTTTATATTTCGAATTGTAGTTTTTTAAATATGAACCATTAAAAATTAGGCGGCGGTGCCAGTTAATTGGCCAACCATCGCCCGCATGTGACCTCCAAAAATCGATAGTGAAGACCCGGACCTCAAAATCGGAATGAAAACTGCGCACGAGTACTTTATGATTTTTTTCTCGTTTTTTTTGCATAGTGAACACGCACTTTCCTTCACCGTGGCCGATGTCGGTGTCCGCTAGTACTACGCACTGGTAAATTCTCGCTTCCACTGCGTCACTTAAACCGATTGGGGGATTGTGGCTCAATTGGTGGATCAGCATGAGACATGGCATTTGTATTGATAGCACTGGACTTATTTAGCATGTAGCTGTTATATTGAGTGCCACAAGGCAAAATAATATTTACCCGGTGAAAATCAAAATGCTACTGCGATCAAGAATCGCCAACGAAGGGTGTGATTAAATGAGAAGAAACTTACTTAAAATTAAAACATTTTTTTAACCCTGTTGCGTTTTTGTTTTGGAAATCTGAACATCATAAACTAATTGTACATGTAAAGTAATAATAGGGATGTTGGGGTTTAGTATTAATTGAATCGTAGACTTAACCTCGCGGGCTCTTCAGTCTCTGGGTTTAAGCATCCGTCTTGGAGATACGTGCTTGTAGTCTTCTTGACGTTTTTGACGTTAATAAGACTCTTTTTCGTTCGGCTGTATCTGCAACGGTCTGTTATGGAGGTATCTACGATATACACTCGAAGACGCGTGAATTATGCAAACTGGTTATATCTTATTCACCAATGGAGCGCAGATAGGCGGCTGAGCAGCAAGAAGGTGTGGATGCGGAATTCGAGTTTCGCGAAGTTATATAATGCTATGTTTTCACGAATAACAATTGACATACAAGATGCATTCGTCTTGGGGCATAATCCAGTCTTGAGCAGTATGGAGGGGCGAAGTTCTTCCCCAAACTCCAGATACAATGGAATGGAATGCCGTCTCGATTCCATGAATGTTGAATGCCTACCGTTAAAGCTCTGATAGCCTTGCGATGGCTAAACCAAGGAATTTTTCAGTGGGAATGCCAGGGGCGATTCGCAGAAGAGGAGAACAGGTTCGAAATTTGTCAAACTGGACAATTTAATAGGTGGACTTTCCCGGGTTTCCAGGTCCTCGTCCATTCTGTGTATCACTACTAAATCTTCATCTTTATTGGTACAATTTTTTTGCAGTTTCAGGAAAGATTCGAGGGACTACAGGACCACTGTGGATTTTTTAGCCGTACTTACAATGACCTATGACCCTGACAGTTGTTAATTCCAAAATGACTTCCTTTTATGAGCGTTAAAACTAACAACCCTTTAAGGGCAACGAAACAATTCCTATGAACTAAAGCAATGATAAAAAATCAGCAAATCAGTGTTTTTTTATGAGGTGAACAAGTGGTTACAATGATTTTAGAAGTAAAAAAGTGCAACTCAGGTCAACTAACCTATGGAATCGCTGAGATAAATTGACCGACGAATGAGAATTGAGGCGCTCCAACTCACAGCACTCATGTAGAAAAGCACATCCTTTATGAAGGGACGACGATTAGTTTGAAATGGGTGAATTATCATAATTAAACCCGCGGTCACTGTGTTTACCAACAATCCTGATCCTAAATTAGCAAAACACAAAATCGTTGTTGTCTCCCTAGTTGTCCAGACTGGGAGGTGGGAAGTAGGCGAGGGAATGACCTTGATTTATAAGCATCTGGAAGTTCATAAGAAATAACGCCTAGGCTGGATCTCTATCTAAAAGGGGGATTCTGATTTTGCATCGATAATCCTTAAAATTATTTCCTTTTAAAATTCTGAGATTTTTCAAAACGGCTAGATACGCTCAGTGTGTTGAGGCTTCCAGCCTTCCTCACCACAACGATGGAGAGATTGTAAACTCACCCATAAGAAAACCAAGACCCAAGCCTTCATCAGGCGCCTCTGGATCACCAGTTGTGATGGCTGTGACAGCACTGAAGACGTCTGGTGCTCCGTTACCAAAGGCCAACAAAGTGACGCCCTTTTATTGTTGAAGTCAAGGGTTAAGGTAATAAGGCAGCTGGAAGCTGTTAAGGCTTTAGTGCTACATGATGACGTTAGTTTTTGTGCATACCACAAAGAAGGTGTTTGTGATTGACCATCGACTCCGAGTTTATTTACGATACCAACTATTTGTGAGGTCAAAGGCCACTGAGGACAATGAAGTCTGGACTAAGCCCTAGCAGTGCAGTCTCCTACGGGTATTTCTACGTGGGTCGATTATTTTAAGGGCTACGACAAGAACATTGAATTGAGGAGGTCGAAAAGACGGCTTTTAACCCTACTAATCCAGGTAGAAATGAAAAAATTCTCTCGACTCGGGGCAACAAACTGAAACATTCAAGAAGAGTAAGTTGTTATCCCCCATATAAAGGGTTGCAATCTCTGCAACATGCCGATGGATTTATTATATTTGGCTGTAGGCAAGAATTAGCGGCTGTACCAAATCCTCTTCTTAAATTAAGTGAGAAAATTATCGTAAAAAGGATACAGCCAAGTTCTGGCTCATATGCATGGAGCGTGCCAACGCAATCAGGGATGGACTAAAGCTAAAAAAACGAGAAAAATACAGAAATGTAAAATATTTTGTCATTGTTACTATCATCCTGATTAAGCAGTGGCAAATGTTACAATACAGTCTACTCAGTCTACCTGCAGAATGCATTCTCATCCCACTTACAAGGAATCAGCTATAACAGCGAAGGCTCCTAGCAGTGTAAATAGCCACAGAACCTACAAAGAAAAGACAAATTTGTGGACACAAAA